TTTCTTCCAAGATACCAGCATAACTGGAATCACAGGTTGATTGACCTAATCAACTATTAATATCAAGTCTCCCCTTCTGGCCTGACCTCCACCTGAAGTCACAGAAGCCACCGAGACCCCCTGWTCTCAATTTCAGGAAGGTCTTCATGATGTCACCGGATGGAAGATCATCCCCCCCCAAATGACCGGTGGCAGCCTGGATCAGGGGTATTTTTTTTTGTTGTTAATTAGTGTCCCTCTTCTGCCCACTCCTTAGCTCTGTTCACATCCCTCACCTGGCACTAGCTTAGGAAAAAAAAATCCAGGCAAAAAAATAGGAGCCCAAGTTCAAGTCAAGATGGCTGGCTGGTTCCTGCTCTGCTGGTAATTAACATGGAAAAACGTTCATTCCTTGTCTTGGCCACAAAGGTAATAATATGAATGCACAGCCTGATTACTTGGCTGCTAATTCCCTTCTTGATGTTTTTCTTCCCCTTTCCTTAATTCCAGAGTTCTTCCAGATTTCTCGTTGCTAAGCTATAAAGTTCCAGGCTCTGCAGTGTGGCTGCTAATTGGCCGAGAGCTCCTGGGCAGCTCCAATCAGAACCAGGCTGCAGGAAGGAGTGTCCACCTCCCGGCCTCCCCGGGGGTTTCAGAATGTTCTGGGTGATGTCATGAACCACACGAGTCTTTGTCTAACTCTGCAGAACCTGTTTTCTTGAGCCGGCTGAGGAGAGATGCCACAGGTCCTGAAATTCCCCAGGGAACGGGGAATCTCCARGTCTTAACGGGTGATCGGGACCTGTCTGTGGATGACCGTGGGGACCTCCCACCGGGGGCAGGAGGGATGCCTCAGTCTCCTCAGGACTGACCTCTCATGTCCACTTCCCAGGCTGGCCGGTCTGAGGTGAAGGAAAACTTCACGCTACTGAACTTGGAGTCGCTGGGGGGAAGGCTACATTTCAAAAGGACCCTGAAGGTCCTGGGCTCTTGCCATTGTCCTCCTAAGTAGCTGGAACTACGGGCTCTAAAGGACTTTAAAATGTAGATGGGAGGACAATTCAGGTGTGTCACCTCCAGAACTTCAATGAAAACCACCACCATCAACTGAATCCCTACTGTGTGCCAGGAGGAGTATTCTCAGCACTTCCCATCCTGAAACCCCATGGGACAGACGGGGGCCATGATGCAGGAAGAAGGAAGTCACAGGAACCAGACCTGGACACACTGATTGGCTCTTGGATGAGCACATGACCCAGGTGGGCCAATGGGAGTTTTCCTTGAGACTTTTCTGCACCAGCTATAGAAAAAGACCCCAGATGGTCGTAGGTGTTCAGCTGATGGCCCCTGGGAACGTGGAGAAGGTGCCTGRGGAGGATGTGAAGCCCTCAAAGACATGGAGCCCCTGGGGTAATGCTTGAGCCCCAGCTGCAGCTGGAGGGGAAGCCAGATATACTCCCTGGATTGTAGGTGCCAGAAGCAGTAAATTCTTTTTCTGCTTAAGTCGGTTGGTCAAGTGTGTTTGTTGCTTCTGACRAATGCTGAGAAACAGGGACACCTACTTCCCCACAGGGCTGCCTGGCTCTGGGTGGGCAGTCTGCATATATCCACACTCAGGGTTCTCAGAATCACCTGGGGGGGGTGTTCCCTTTTACAGATGGAGAAGTTGAGGCTCGGGAGGGGATAAGGGAGACTGGTAAAACTGTCACCGCGTATGCTCAGAGGTTCAAACCTGGGCTGTCTTGGTGACCCCTCAAATTCAGCTCGTCCAAAACGGAATTCAAGATTCTCCCCCACCACCTGGTTTCCCTCTGGRGTCCCCAGCTGTYAGTCCACTGGTGCCATCCCTGTCCCTCTAAGCCAGGTGCCATCCCTGTCCCTCTCTCCATATCCAGCCTCACCAAGCCCCGCGGGGGCTCCTCCGCAGCCCTGGACACGGCTCGCTTCTCTCTCCGTCCACACCACCCTCTTTCTCCTTGGCCTTCTAGACTCGCCTCCCTGCTGGTTCTCCTGAGCCTACACCTGCCCCCCCMCACACACACACAGCTTCCTYGGCATCCAGAGGGGAYGGGTCTCACAAGCCAGTYTGGTCACACTGCCTTGCTGGGGGCATCTGGGTCTCAGGACGTCGGGACACACTTTCCTACCTGGAGAGGTCATGAGGAGGAGGCGACCTTGGTGCTACCTGGCCTGAGGTCCCCAGGATGAAGAGGGACACAGCTCCCCGCACCCTCAGCCATTCCACCATTGGTTCACTGGTACCTGCTGGGGTCTCCCCGGCACTCTCCCCTGAGCTGGGGCTCCGGGGACGACTGGGAGTAAGGACAGGCAGGAAGGCTCAACCCATAGCAGACACAAAGAGAAAAAGGCCTCTATTCTCATAAAGCTCATATTTCTAGAGAGGGAGATCAACAACAAACACACACACACACACACACACACACACACACACACACACACACCCCATGATTCAGAGAGCAGGAGAACCCCGGAGGACCCTGGACTTGTGCATCCCGAGGATTCCAGATGCTTCCAACCTGATTCAGATCGTTTAACATGTGCAAAGCAAGGATGCAAAGGAGGCTTATGCACAGGTGTCTGTGTGCTTAGAAGAACCCATGGAGCCACACGCTGTGCTCCCTCTCTGACAAACACCTTCACCACAA